CCTGCCGAGGACCGTGGGAGTGAGCGTGATGGCAGATCCTTTACCCAGAGACTTGAGTTGAGAGCCACCCAATGGAAGCTTGACTGTGGCCTATGAGGGGCCCTGGGCCAGAACGACCCACCTAAACTGCTCCCAAATTCCTGAGTTACAGAAACTACGTAAGATAATATACGGGAGTTGTTTTGAGCTGCTGAATTGTGGGATAGTTTGTTACACAGCAGTGGACAGCTGATAAGGGCAGAGAAGTCTGATGGGGGATGAGGGATGAGGAAAGTTTAGAACTGGACTGACGACTGTGGCCCAGAGCTCTCGAGAGTTGGGAAAGGAGAACTAGGACATACTGAAAATAGGCTTGACCTCATCAGAGTGCTACCTCAGCACCATCATCACCAGTGGAATGAAAGGAAGTGAGGTGTCCCTCGGGGTCACCAAGGCCAGGCACAGCCCCACAAGCATGGCTTAACGGCAGAGGTGTGCCAGGGCAGGGCTGAGCCTCGTCACCAGGAGCACCCCATCCTACCTGAGCCCAAGGGCAATGCTAGAAACTTTTGTCTTCGATACTCACCCTGTGCCTCAACCTCCTCCCAGGCCCTGATGAGATTTTTGAGCAAAAGGACCCATCCCAGCTCAAAGTGCTGGCCGTACCTGCAGGGAAAGAGGCAAGGAATGGATTCAGCTGCCAGCACACCGGTCCACTCAGGCACTCTCCCTTCTGCTTACACCTGCCGAGTCCCACACTGACCACCCGGAGTGCCCTTCCCTCCTCTCCCACAATCCTGCCGTGATGGACATCTGTCCTTATTTTTGGCCACATGTGAACTTCCTTCCCGAGTGTGGCAGATGGCAAATGTGTCCACACGTTTTACAATGCCACTCTGCGGCTTCTCCCGCAGAGGTGGGTTTATTCCCCAACCCCTTAAATCCGGGCTCGCCTTCTGGCTGACTTGTCCACAGAAGGTGACAGAGCCATGTTGTTCCAGCTCTGAGCTGAGCCTTCAGGAGGCCTTGTGTGCTCACTCTTGCTTCTTGGAACTTGCTGCCACCTTGGGAACATGCTCAGGCTGGTCACCTGAGGATGAGAATGACAGTTGTAGAACAAGACTTCCAGCCAAGGTGTCCTAGACCAGCCACCCCAGCCTCTACAGCAACTGCCCGGGGCCCTGCGTGAGCCCAGCCACAACCAGAAGAACCCCTCAGCTGGTCTCAGCCCAATTGCTGACGCCTAGAATCACGGTTAATAGGTAAATATGTGGTTATTGTTTAAAGTCACTAAGTTTTGGCATGGTTTGTTACACAGCAAAAGCTAACTGATGCCCTATGTTTGGAATATCGCCATCCTTGGGAAGCAGAGTTTTCCTCCACCATGGACACTGAAAACTGTGTGCTTCCCCAGCCTCCTTTATATCCAGGACACAGACACACACAAAGCCACCGTGTGTGGTATGTTCTATGTGTGGTGCTTCTGGATTTGTGCGGTGCACAACCTGTGCAGACACACAAAATGGCCCTGGAAACATAGGTACCCAAACAGACTCGCCCCTCAGTCTCTGACCCGGGAGCTGGTAAGCTGAGAGACAGCAGCTACAGACACCTTCCACGGAGGCGGCAGCAGCAGCAGCAACAGCAGCAGCAGCCACCAGCAGCAGAGGGACCCACAGGCCCATCTGAATCAGGATTTATGGGCTTTGTTCCCTTCCACATAGTACCAAGAGGGTTCTCCAGTCTTTCCAAAATCCCTGTGAACTCCCGAAAAGCATTCAACAAATTCCCTTTCTGCTTAAATTGTCCAGACTCAGATTTTCTTGCCTACAGCTAAGAAACACCTCCATCCTCGCTTCAGATCTGCTGAATTGAACCGGTTACACCTGGTGATCGCCCCTCGGCCCTCACCTGCCACCCACCCCCCTCAAGGAAGCAAGATGGGCCCACTGTCCAAACCAGGCCCCAGAGGTGGCCGTGCCACCTGGGCAGGCGATGAGAGCCATTGTTCAGGTCTGGGTGAGGCAGGTGGTCCAGACGATGGTTGCCCCAGGAACAAGAGTGATGGAGAGTCACGTGACATCTTTCAGGTGCTCAGCTGCCCCTGAAGAAACACCCTCCTGTCATCTTTCCTGCACCTCAGTCTCCACCGAGCCCCGTGACCAGTGCTGCAGGGACTCTGGGCGAGGTAAATAACTGCATCCCCTCCGAGAGCTCATCTTTCAGCCAACACTCAGAACGATCGATTCTCTTCCTGACTAGTCTTTTGTTTGTGGCTCTAGACAGCCGCTGCCACCCTGGGGACACACTAAGACTGAGGGTGAGAAATCACATGGAGCGTGCATGAGTGTTTTTGAAGGATGTGGCACCACTGGGTCTGGGGGCCAGAGTCGCTGGTCCCCTCCCTGCCTGCCCTTTGTTCTTTCCACATGACTCCGCCCCCTGGGTCTCTAACTGACCTCTCCCCTCCCCTCCCTTCATCTCTCTCTCTCTGTCTCTCTCTCAAACACGCACATGCACACACACACACGCACACACACCATCCCAAAGAATTCCCTGGAGCATCTGTGTAGCTGGCAGCTTAGCTGGCCTCAGAATCCGCAGCGCTGCAAACTCCATGTGGTTTCGTTGCGGGGGGGGCTCTGTCCCCTCCGACCGCTGGATGGC